CGGATCATCATTTGCTCTTATTGCTGCGGATCCCTCCGCAGGCGGCGCTTCCCGGCGTGGCGCCGCAGCCGGCCCCGCGGCGCTGGGAACACCTCGGGAACAGGACAGTGCCCCGGGTCAGGCTCCGAAACGGCAGCTGGGCTCAAAGGGAGACTGAAGAGCACAGGGGCTACCGCRCAGGACACCTTCCAGTTATAAAAATGGAGATTATATTGCTATCTTATACTGTAATTTATGGGATGAATATTGTAATTCACTGAATGTCACGACTTATCTTTTATTCATATAGTTACTATTCCATTACCAGAGAGGGAGGTTTGTCAAAGGTTAATTATTTTAAATTGCTCAGGCAAATTTATTTTGATTTGTACAATTTTTTTTCTTGAATAATCAAAGGCCTATATATTCATCCTGCCAGGCAAGGCGTCATTTAAAAAAAAAAAAAAAAGTAATACTCCTTGATGATGCAGTCAGACTACACAAATGCTTTGGTAAAGACTGAAACTGCATTCTTTTAACCCTAAATAGACGGAATCTCAGGAGGAATTTGGAAAATTACCTCGGAAGGGAAGTGCAAGGCGGGTGCCGAGCACCGGCCCTGCTGCCCAGTGGAGACGGCCCGGCCCAAATCCCACCCRGGAGGCCCACGGCCCGCGGGAGGGACGGAGAGAGAAGGGGAGACAGGAAGGAGGAAGGGAAGCCAAGAGAAGCCCTATTGTTCCCCAGTCCCCTCCAAGGCTGCCGGCTTTCAAGCAGCTCTTGGACAATATTGGGGGTGGGGGGAGAAACAAACTCAGGGGAAACAGCTGATTAGATTCTGGCAAGGCGGCCCAAACATCTGCTTCAAACAAAAGACATCTGCATATTTCACATTTATTTTTCATAATTTACAGAAGCAACCTGCCAAAATTTAGCAAGGGAGAATAAACCAGCACATAATTAGCTRAAGTTTGCTTGCTTTAGAAGTTATTAGCATGAAGCCCAGTAGCTCACCTGGGAGGACATCAAGGAATGCAGATAACTACAGTTTGATTTTGCAAATTCAATTTCCGACCCGGCACGCCAGGCCAGACGAGCTGCCGCGCACGTGGGGGCCGCGCGAATGCGCCAATTACCAGAGCGCGCGCCCGCGCCGCGTGCCCGTGTCGCGCCGCGCAGCCGTCTCGGGGGCACTGCTAGCGCTGGGCATTAGATAAGCATCGATCGGGCAGACTGTGCTCGCTGCAGTTTACACGGACAGCAGGCTGCAGCTAGAAGGCACAACAAAACTGTTTTTACCTATCAGGAGGTGCTCCATGTGTCGGGCGTGCAGGGCATACGAACACCGCGGCGGCGGCCATGCGAGTTTTCCAAGGCAGCTGAGAAGCCTTTGCCCCATTAAATCGGGGCTACACCCTGCTAGGAAGGTGCTTTCTTACAAACGCCAAGGTAAAGCCAGGCTCATGGAAGCATCTGCAAGTCTTGTGATGAGCCAAGGGGGAGCTTTGCCCTGCTGCCTCTCTCCTTCTCTCTCAGAGGAAGGATTTATTGTTGCAGACAGAAAGCATGGGAAACTCTCTCTCTTGGACTGAATCCTGCCCGGAGTTTCAGACTTACTTGAACCTGCAGCTCAGAGCAAAACTCAGGGAGTAAAAACTGAACTGCCAAGAAAGTTCTGTTGACCCCAGAGGACTATGAATTGCCAAGCAGAGCGCAGCTCTGAGAGACATTTCAAGCCCCTTAATCTGGGCTTTATGGCTTGCACCTCTCTGCAGCAGGATGAATCCAAGACTGAATCTGAACACCCTAAACTTTGGGAAAAAAAATTGCACTAGAGCATAATGACAGCACCCAGATCCGGAGGCTGGAGCTCCAACATCCTGCAGCGGAATCCAGAAGGATTTGGGCCAACAGCAGCAACATTCTGTTTACGTTGGATTAACTGAACGAGACACATTCATCTAAGAAGAGATTCAAAGCTCTAATTCAGGCCCAGTGCCTTTGTAAAACACTTCTTCCACCTCACAAGCTTACTTAACTAAATCACGGAACCAAAGCTACCCCGTTTCACTACACAGACAGCAACCCGTGTAGGGCAACAGTCTCTGCGTTATCACGGCGGTCAGCCCGCCGTTCAGAAGCCCCACGAGAGCAGGTTATTCCCTATRACCCCACGCAGCTGGCACGCGAGGCTGGCTTCCCCCGGGCACCCAAACCCGCCCGAGGCCGTGGCGGGATCAGGGTGTCCCGCACAGGGAGCAGCGCTGAGGCTGGCGGCCACAACAGGGACAGCGCCCACACCACGAGCCCAGCGCAGGACCTCGCCATCGTTACTTGCAATAATCCCKAATAACAGGCAGGGACAGGGCAAGATGGCCGTTTTTAAACAAAACTTGAAAAGATACCCCAACTAATCTACTCAGATCTTAAAATTAATCTAGTGTTTTAATTCTTTAGCTTTTTTTTTCTTTTAATTAAATCAACAAGAAGGGCACAGTGGAATGAAGTGACTGAAAGCCTGTGCTATCTAAAGGGGCACAGAGCACAGGATGCTGCTGCTTAGAGATAAATAAAAGTAAATATTCCCTTGTTTCGGACACTCACTTAGTCTGTGTTTGAAGGAAGCCGAGATCCTGAGTTGCCCAAATAAATCAAGATCACTCYCTACGTTTGAGATGTACAATTCCCACAAAACTGAACTGCTTCAGAGCTACTCTTTTKTATTTATTTTTTAATTGAATGTTTTGAACCAAAAGGTAATTTCAAACAACTAGAAGTGCTTTTATGAAGATATCAATCTCAGCCTTAAGTCCTTTGCCGCTTATAATGACAAGGACATTTGTGAGCAGGTTTGCTCCCAATTTACATCTTCCTGACCCCCGGAAAATGCCATGTTAGAAATTTTATCCCGATGGAGCCATACTAAGCAGCTGAGCAATTCTCACAGCTTTGCTGGAAACAACCACAGGATGAACCTCTCTGCTGCCCCGTTTCCAATGCAGTGGACACAGCGGAGCAGCAACAGATGAGAACAATAAGCAGACAATATTAAGTGATATTAAGTAACACTAAATGCACTCCTGATCACAGAATAGATCTAGTGCATTATGAATTGTAMGCTGTAGTATCTGGAAAAAGCAAAAAGCTGCCTACACAGGTTCTTTTCTTAATATTATTATATGTGGTCTCATTCATACAGGTAATTTCATTTTATATTTTGTCATTATTCAACCTGTTCATTCCTTTTAATTACCCATACAATAATTTATCATAGATCTTTTTTGTGATAAACATTTAATCAAGCATCTCCTAATAAAAGTTGATGAACTTGCCTCTGACCGAAATTCTCCTGTGTATTAAACGTCAAAGGAGGCAGTGAACATTAAAAAAGTGCAGTAAATACTCAAAACACAGAGCGTTCTGTAAAGCAGGAAGACAAACACGGCCTGCCTGGCCAGTCTGCTTCAGGAATGTTGCAAATGGGAGGCATTTACTATTTTAGGAACATCAATCATATACTCACTCCGTTTATTTACTTATCTGCAGTTTCCAAGTAAATCTCTCTTGAAAAGTGTAAACTCTCCAGAATTACAAACAAGAGTGAGGTCGCCTTTGGTGTTTTGCCTGTTTACACTCTGATCACTCAACTCTGCTGAGAGCTTTGGGAGAAGCTCTTGTTTCAAAGGGGTCCCYGCCGTGCAGACGGCCTGGGCTGTGGGGCTGCCCCCCGCGTGCCCCACGCTCCTGCCTCCTTAACTCACCTCACACTTCTGGGACAACACATCCTGGGCAGCAGAGACTCACCCTATAGCTGCTACTATAGCTATTGCTATTAGTAAGTAGCCGACATGCTGTAAATGCACATTTTAACACAGCCCATGACGAACTSCTGACCATAGTGGGTCACCTCTGGGCTCTGCAGCACCCTTCCTCGTCCCAGCTGCCTTGGAAGACTATAATGGGCACTCAGGCACTGGGCTGGGAAAGAGCTACCGTCACCAGTGCAGTGCAAGCGGGAACCAAGYGCAGGCTCTGCGGGGCTTTGCTTAAACGCCCCTTCTTTTCCTTCCCTGGAAGGAAACCGTCTAAGGTAGTTTGCACAGCCCAGGCTACTGTTTTTTTTCCAGCTTCGTGACAAAACAGTGGAAGATCCTTCTTCACAAGGCCCTGACGCAGACAGCACCTCTTGCAGGTTCGGCCTCCTTGCCCCTTCTCGGGGCGCTAGACCCAAGACTGGCCCTGCTCAGACTGTCAACCTGACAACACAGTTCCTTTGCCCCTCCCTCAAATTCCGATAACCAAAGTGGAGACCAGCTTGAAAGGGGCAGGGAAAGAGTGGGAAAAACGCAATGAAAGGCCACGCACGGGAAGGGGTGTCTGCAGCGCCACGAAGCCGAGAGGCAGGGATGGGAGCGGGCAGGGTCGGGAGCGGGGTGGCTCGGCGTTCCCTGGAGCTCACCTGCCACGTGGGCCAGGCTCAGGCGCCCACGGCACCGCTCTGCTCCCGCAGTGCATCCATGGGGCCAGAGCCAGGCTGAGGATGCGCCGAACGCACCTTCCCTGCACCATCCCCAGGCATCTTGGAGAAGGACCTACCTCCTGTCGCATCTTGTCTTGCCAGCAGCAGCAGCTGGAAAACTTCTTAGGAAAGCGATAACGTTCGACTTCCCTTTTCCAGCAGGGACAGCCAAGACCTAGAAGAGAAGAGAGGAGAAAGTTCTGTTGATTGGCGTTAAAGGGCGCGTGCCGAGCATGCCTTACGCTGCCCGGTGCCGGTTCCGCGTGTCCCCCGCGCTGCGGGGCSCTGGGCTGAAGCGCCCACGCTGCCCACGAGGGCAGGCTCCGCGCCTGGCGGCACCGCCGTCCCCGGCTGCGGGCTCTGCGAAGGCCAAGGCTCAAAGCCTCCGAAACACAGCCGCCTCCCGACTAGAGGATATGAGCATTAAACGCATCTACATCGCACTCTATAAAAACAGCACCTCCAGGAGCAAAAGGCCTCCTCATGTGCTGATGTGGTTCTGGGAAGGGTGTCATCTGTTCATAAATATTCCTCGGAGGTTTGCTCCGCAACCACTGATGTGAACCAAATCTGTTTGGACGACGGGATTTTCATCACAACATCACAGGCCTCTGTTGCAATGCACACAGAGCTGAAACAAAGACAATTTATTAGTCTACTGAAAGATCTCTTCTGGCCAAACTTGAGTAAAACCATCACATATTGGTACTTGTGTAAGATCATAAACTCAAATGAACACCAGCTGAAGAGGAGGACAGTGGTAATGCCAGATGACAACTGATAAAGTCATCATATTCATCAGCATCAAGAGCAGCCGGTCACTTCCCCCCCTCGCTGAATTAGCCATGAAGGATTGTTTTAATGATAGCAAGAATGTGTTAAAAGCACACACGGCTGCAGCAGTGCYGAGTGTGGCTCTCAGAGCCCACATCTGAGGGGGAGATGGTCAAATAAAAACGAAAACAAAAAGAGATTCTCAATAAATGACTAAAAAGAAGGGGTAAAAATAAAACACTGCAGTAGGAAGGTGAAAAAAGTAGATAAAAGATTAAAACACAGGGATGAGTTTGACACTGGAAACATGCTGCATTGTTCAGACTCAGGGAAGAGTGTGTGAACAGAAGTGATGACAAAAGCTACAAAACTCAGTATGATCCCTGCAAGGCGGGAGGCTTTGTGAGCAAACACCCAACTTTTCCAACTTCTTTGCTTTGGGTTCAAAGTCATCAGTTTGGCTCATTATTTCCACCAACTACGGTCAGCAGCCGCTTGTTTGATTTGATCCAAGGCAGATAACAYGACGGAAAAGACTGCTGCCCGCTGCTCACCTTCACGTTCCTCCTCGGAGCCTCGTGCCCGCACTSCCACCTTCGAAGACACCTAAGCACGTTTGCACTATTAGCCCGAGTGCCCCAGACCGCCCTGCGAGGAGAGGGGTTTAAGGTRATTATCTGCTCTATCGTGGCATTTCATTTCTTCCCCAATGTTACCTTGGTGCCCTGCTGCCCGTTCCATTCCCTTCCACAGCGACGGGGCCGACAGCAGGGCTGTTACAGGCGGATTCGCGAGGTCTCCGCACAAAATACCGCTCCGGTATTTCAGCCTGGAACACCACCTGAAGGCAGCAGCTCATCGCAGTGCTCCAGGGCCAGATTCTACACAGCTATTTCAGCACCCAGAGACCTTTGCAGAGACAGCCTGAAGGGGTTAATAATGGAAAAAAAATCCTTCTCAGCATTTGTCCTGACAGAAAAACTGCCAGTGCTTCACGGAACGAACTTCCCGACGTTGCACTCACGCGAGGTTGGTATATTAGCTGGATTGCTAAGTAGACTCATAGAAAAGAGATGGTTTTCATCCAAAAATCACTTTTCTACTTTGGCTCYTAGAATAGTCTCCCATGCCCGAATACGCATGCGTGTGTGAACGGAGGACAGTCAACCATGCCAAACATTCTTAAACACCTCTTTACTTATACTGAATGAGGGAATGTGTAACTTTAGGATCTCTTCCTCTTTTAGCGTTGCTCCCACTGAAACAAGGGAAGTTTTGCCTTTGTGTTTCAGGAGAAGCACGAATGTTTCCCAAACTGCGCTTCAGATGGGCTCTCTGACAGCAGCTTTTCACCCTCTCCTCCTCTCTTGCTCGAAACACACCTTGGTATTCCCAAAAAGAACCCTAAAAARCATTCACCACAACTGCAGAATGTTGTGTGCTCTGGCAAAACCACCGATTTCCATCAGGGAATTTGGGGTTTGGGCTCAGGTCTCGAATGCAAACTCTTCATCAGCATCGGGGMTTTGCAACACCTTTGGAAACTGCGTATTTGGGATACCTGCACGAACAGCCCAGGAAACACCTCAGCAGCAAACATGTCTCCCCTGCGGGACGGGTATTCACCTAATCCCATGTAGGAGCCTTTCCATCTCCGTCCCCACAGATCATGTTACTCTGAGGGTTTAATCCCGGTTATTGAAGGGCTTATTCTACTAACAATAATAATAAAAAGGTGGATAAATGCCTGCCTGTCAGTGCATCAGCCCCGGAGCAAACGCAGTGGAGCAGGACCCCGGCTTTCCCTATGCAAACAGGCAGCACCRGTCGGAATTGAAAGTTTCAGAGAAACCTGCCAGGCTTAACCAAAATATTAGCAAGTTTACTAGGCTGGAGGTGTTTTAATCCATAATCTACRAACAAATAAATACAACCTGAAAGCATTCACTATCCTCTTTGCAAATCTGCTTTTCCCTCCCATTGCCGAGGAGCTGCTTTTGGAGGGTCTCTGCAGTCCAAACGTCTAACGACTAACAGCACATACATAATGCATGTGCGGCGTGGCAGACAGCTGCGATATAACAGACTAACAAAAAAAACAACAATTTGTTAACAAATGCATCAAGTTTCTTATTTTACAGGAAAAAAAAAAAAAAGAACTCCAAGTCTTCACTTCCCAATATTTCATTAAACCAAACATTTTGGATGAAAACAAAAAAGCCTTGCCAAGAGCCTCTGCTGACTGCAGAGCTATTCTGTGCTGGAAGCGGCGCGGCGGCCGCTCCTCCAGGCTGTCCTCGTCTCCTCAGCCCTCGCTGCTCCGGGCCCTCCGAGCCGCCCAGGCAGCCGCGCGCCTCGGGCTTGCTTCTCCCCAACGCCCCTTTTCTCCGCAGCAAGTCCTACTTTTCCACCTGCTGTTCATTCCTAGCAGCGGGGAAGGTGCCAGGCGAGCGGGCAGCTCCGGTCTTTCTGCTGCACGGGTCTCGTTTCTCCACACGGGGCAAGAGGTACGTCTTAGAATTGACATTATTGAGGGCCCTCCACGTGAGGAGCGCCCAGCAGCACAGAACGAGCAGTCCCTAAAGGAAACCCCGAGCGGAATCACCAAGGGAAGGCAGTCACCACCGGCGCTTCCCGGAGGAGCGCAGCGAGGCCAGGAACATCTCCTYCCCACCCGGCTCCTGCCCAGCCCCATGGCACTGCCGAGCAGCACTGCTCACCAAAGGCTTCCTTACACCACGCTGCTCTTCCCAAAACAATGGTGCTCCCTGACAGATGCTCAGAGGTTGGGAATTTCGCTAGACACAAAAAAGATGCAGAGGAGCAAGCAGAGGGGTGCAAGGTAGCAAAGTTGCACAATAAATGAAATATAGCAGATGGCTCTGCACCTATAAAAATCTCCAGATTCACAGATGAGATGGACAGAAATTCTTGTCCCAAATTCTCTCCCTGAATTCTTGCCCCTTGCAGATGCTGCTGTTGCTGTTAGAACTAGTCTCCAAGTTCGACACTGATGTATTTCAAAGCAATGTTTTGTTTCAGAAGGCTGCAATGTGGAGCTGACGCTGCACCCCCTGTATCTAACTCAGTAACACCAACAGTGCAGCGTTAGGCCGGGAGCAGCGCTCAGGCTACCCCAGCATTTCAGAGGAAGGGCTGCTAACGGGAGCAGAGGTCCACTGCCAACGCCCTGCACTTCTGGCAGCAGCACATATGTCAGAAACCCTGCCATCAAAACCTACATTCGCTGAAAAGTCCCTGCCATCCGAAAGATGGTCCTGTCCCCTGACATCTATTAATTGCATGGAAAATGTCCTCATTATTGAAGATGTCGATTATATGAACTGAGGCAATGTGTCCCCTGGCACCCGGAGAATCGAGGTTGTGCTGCATATGGGCCATTCTTGCAGAGCCTTGAAGACGAGTGACTACCCTCGAGCATAAGGGTTTGCTAGATCAGGCCATGTAACATACATGAACAACGTTCACCAAGAATAACTTCTGAATAATCTGTTGCCTATGAGCAAGCGTTAGTATCAATAAATGGACGCCACAGTAATAAGGTCCAGCGTGAGTCTTCTCCACTRTAGTGTTACTAATACTTGCTATTGATCAGCCTCTGAACCAGCTCAACCACTTCCACTCCAGAGCAGCCGCTCCAGTTTAATTCCCCAGCTCCACTCACTCGATAGCCACACAGCACAGCTACTGCAATCACCGTTTCAGGAGAAAACAAGATGATTTTACCCAGTTCTTCTGATTTTACCCAGTTCTTCTGGCCAGCAGAACCGGGTTAACAGTTCTTCTAGGTCTGCATCCACTCCCCTTGCATTTCACATCACACACATCTCATTTTGGCTTGGGAGAAATTTCTTGAGGAAGTGGAACAGCTGGACACAGGAGGTCCCAACCGGAGCTCCAGAGCACTCTGTGTTTACACTGAACACCGCACAGGGGTGCAGGGGCACTGTGTCAGCCCCAAACAAACACACAGAACGGCATTCCTTGCAGGCAGACRGGGCTGCCCGCGATGGGGCCGTTCTCTGGGACTGTTCACCCCACGCAATTGCATCTGAGCCCGGGGAGCCCGTGTGACGGCCGCACGCGGCCACGCGAGCTGCAGAGCCGTGCCGAGCGGTGCCGAGCGTGCCGAGCCACGCGGCCACGCRAGCACAGACCTCTCCATCACGGGGGCAGCACGGCAGGGACCTACAAAGAAGAGCGCGGAGCCACGGCTGCTAACGTGACTCTGCGGGGTCTAAAGGAGCAGCCTCTTTTCCTCGGCCTCCTTGCTGCCTGCCCCGGAGCGCTCCCACAGMCGCACATCAGAGTAAAGTGCCTCTGTGCATTTATGACTGCACAATGGGTGGAGAGTGAAGAACCTGGGCTAAAGCAAACTGTCCTACAGCCAAATGCAAAAAAAAAGGATGTTTAAAGACGCAGAAGGAGCCCAAGTTATCGCTGGCAGAGTTCTCCAGGTYAGGGGCTGGTCGCTCACCCCAGAAACACCCCCATCAGTCCCTAGAARGGCGTTAGAGGTGCATGTGGCACCGTCAGCTCCATGGCAGGGAGCTGCATCCCGATGGTGCAGGGAGCCGGCCAAGCCGCATCCCGCGGGCAGCAGCCAGGGTCGCTGCTCACCACTGTGCTCCGGCTTCACACACAGAAATACACCTGAAAAGCCTCCTGCACACACGGGCTGCCTTCAAACACATGGGCACTCGCCATGGCCCCGGCAAGCTCAAAGCAAAGCACCTAGAGTCCCTCTCTCCTGCTCCAGGGACTCTGCAAGGGGAAGGCGCCACAAAGCGCCAGGCTGAGGTGAGGAGGTGCCAGCCCAAGCCTTGTAAGTTAAAA